ATCACCACCTGGTCGTGAGTTGGATCCTCTGGCAAGGTGGCAAGCCGCTCAGACCTGGCAGACCCAAGCGTGTAGTGAGGGTCTGCTGGGAACGTCTCGCTGAGCTTCCGGTCAACTCAAACCTTCGGTAGAGAGGGACATTGAGTCGGAATCTCTTTGAGGCACATGTCAGTCGGCCTTGAAGAGATTCTGGGAAACCTTCCGGCGCCTCAGAAGTGCTTTGCTAACACCGTGTACAGAGTGTACGGAGAGCTGCTGACCTCAACTGGGGATATTGTTGGGCGGTGGAAGGAATACATTGAAGTTCTCCTTAATCGCCCTGTCACGTCCTCCGTTCCGGAGGAAGATGCTGGGGCATGGCTGAGGTCACCAAGGTGGTTGGCAGCCTCCTTGGTGGCCAGGCCCCTGGGAGTGAATGAGTTCCGTCCTGACGATCTAAAGTCTCTGGATGTTGTAGGACTGTCTTGGCTGACTCATCTCTGCAACATCGCCTGGAAATCGGGGGTGGTGCCAACTGGGTGTCAGACTGGGGTGGTGGTCCCTCTCTACAAGAAGGGGGGCCGAAGGGTGTGTTCCAATTATCGTGGGATCACACTCCTCAGCCTCCCCGGTAACGTCTACTCCACAGTACTGGAGAGGATACTACAACCGATGGTTGAATCTCGGATTCAGGAGGAGCAGTGGGGTTTTCGTTCCGGCCGCGGAACACTGGTCCACCTCTATACTCTCCGTCGAATACTCGAGGGTTCTTGGGAGTTTGCCCAACCTGTCCACATGTGCTCTGTGGATCTGGAGAAGGTGTTCCACCGTGTTGCCCGGGGTGTCCTTTCAGGGGTTCTCTGGGAGTACTGGGTCCTCTACTGAGGGCCGTCCAGTCCCTGTATAACCGGAGCCAGAGCTGCGTTCGCATTGCCGGCAGTAAGTCAGACCTGATCCTGTTGCATGTTGCGTCCGCCAAGGCTGCTCCTTGTCACCGGTTCTGTTCACTGTTTTTATGGACTGAATTTCTAGGCGCAGTCAGGGGCCGGAGGGGGTCCGGTTCGGAGACCATAGGATTTCATCTCTGCTATTTGCGAACCATGTTGTCCTGTTGGCTCCAACGCCCCAGGACCCGCAACATGCACTGGGATGGTTTTCAGCCATGTGTGAAGCGGCTGGGATGAGAATCAGCACCTCCAAATCCGAGGCCATGGTGATCGACTGGAAATGGTGCCTTGCCCTCTCCAGGTGGGTGGAGGGGTCCTTCCTCAAGTGGAGGAGTTCAAGTATCTCAAGGTCTCATTCACGAGTGAGGGAAGGATGGAGCGATAGATTGACAGGCGGATCGGTGCAGCGTGCGCAGTAATGCAGTCGCTGTATTGGACTGTTGTGGTGAAGTGGGAGCTGAGCCGAAAGGCAAAGTTCTCGATTTACCGGTCAATCTTCGTTCTCTCCCTCACCTATGGTCATGAGCTTTGGGTAATGACCAAAAGGACAAGATCGCAGATACAAGCGGTTGAAATGAGCTTCCTCCGTAGAGTGGCTGGGCGCTCCCTTAGAGATAGGATGTGGCGTTCAGTCACACGGGAGGAGCTCGGAGTAGAGCCGCTGCTTCTCCATGTCGAGAGGAACCAGTTGAGGCTCGGGCATTTGTTCCGGTTTCCTCCTGGACGCGTCCCCCGGAGAGGTGTTAGGGTCCCACCGGGAGGAGGCACCGGGGAAGACCCAGGACACGCTGGAGGGACTATGTCTCTCAGCTGGCCTGGGAACGCCTTGGCGTCCCCCCGGATGAGCTGGAGAAAGTATGTGTGGATATGGAGGTCTGGGTGTCTCTGCTTAGGCTGCTGCCCTCGCAACCCTGCAACAGATGAAGCGGAAGAAAAACTTTTAATTTCTTTCAAAAACAGATTATTTCCCACAGAGTTTTAATGGCACCTGCTGAAATTGTAACACCTACGAGGGGTAATTACAGGGTAAAAATTCCTATCAATATCCTATGGACCCGAATCAATCAGCTAAGTTCGTCTACTGGAGTAAAAGTTGGATTACAGAACGTAAGACGCTAATAAAGAAGCCACAGACCAGTGAATAAGTTTAAATTGCCGGCTTATTATTGAAAAAAATAGACAAAAGACAATGGACATACAATAAACATTAAATTCAAAACACTTAACCCTTTAATTAGTTAAGTTCAACCTTCTAATTAAACCTTTGCTTTGATTTAACCTTGGTTTAGTATCAGTTTTAGTATCAGGTTGCAACCTTTTATTTTTGTTTTAGTTCTCTTTCAGTAGTTCTCAGTTGAGATTTAGTTCAATTGATTGAGTTAACTCAGTTTAGTTCAAATCTAGTGAAATTCACCTTTAAGTTCACCATTCAAAGAAAAGTGGATACCATTGTAAAATGTACAACTCGGTAATAATCCTTCAAAATAAAATACAAAATATCAACTGAAGATGATTCAGCAAAAGACTGAATAAAGCTGTATACCACAGTATCAAAATAAAAATAGTGTCTTTGTTCTTCAGACTCCGATTTACTTTCTTTGAATTAACAGTTAAATGTTCTCGAGTCCACTGCCTCTTTGCAGAAGTTTGGATGAATCCTACCAGTTCAGAAGGAGTATGAGTTCAGTCCAACAGAGGGTGTTAACTCTCAGATGGATGTAGTTCAGAAGGTCCAGGGAAGGCTCGCCATCTTGTTTCAACCTCGTGCTCAGAGATGATATAAAGTTGGCTATTTCTCCAACCCACTCTGAATGGCCTACCGTAAACAACATAAAATGTGCATAAATACACATAATACATAGTCAGGTAGATCGAAAATAAAGAAAAGTCTTCTCTCTGTCTCAACTGGTGCTTGCAAAATGGCTGCTATCAGCACTAGTCCAGACAGTGAACTTGTGCACACTTGGGTTAGTCTTCGCTAAAATTTGGATTGTGTGCTCATATTCTACTAGAAAATAATCTTAAATAACAAATATCAGCACTTAAGCTTCACATTTCCATAAAAATATTATTACAAAACAGATTTACATTAACACAAAATACAATTCTTATTTTCACTCACCAAGTCCCGATTCTCCACAGTACAACTTGCCTCGGTCACAGGACAAGGTGAAAAACCAAAAATACTCTTCTTTAACTTTCTTTCAAACAAAAAAATATCTCTCTACGACTCAAGACTCAAATATTTCTTCACAAAAATCAGTTTTAAACACTTTTTACTCAAATATCTTTAACCCTTGTATTATGTTGAAAAAAAATTACATTGATTATGTTGCGGGTCATTTTGACCCGTACTGTGTAAATGCACTCAAAACAGTCAAGAAAACAGGTTAAACCAATAACAACTTTATTTTAGGTTATATAAATATTTAGAAAAGTGACGTACAATACATTTTTTATTCCAACGATATATTTAAGAAATATTTAGTCTAATCTTCTTGTCCTCCTCAGGTCAAAATGACAATTCTTCCCTCCCTCTTTCCTCCTGCCATGCTTTCTCCTTCCTTTTTCTCATCCTGTTTTCCTTCTTTTTACTGTTTACTGTTTTGTTCCTTCCTTCCTTTCTCCCTTCTTTCCTTCCTACCTTCCTTCCTTCCTCCCTTCCTCTTTACTTGGCCAAAGATTCGTCCTCTGAATCCGCCTTATCGTAAGAAAATTGACAATCTGGATCAGCAATAACATTGTCCTGTATCTGAAAAATCCTCTGTTTCTGAAATCTCTTCCTCTACATCATTATCCCAGTTAAAAATCTGTGATAAAGCCTCCTCAGATGTCATCCTTCTGGAGCTCATTTTTGGTGAGTTTGTCTAAAGCCTAGCGCACATCGACAGAGAAACTGGAGACAACAGTTTCAAGGCGGCTTTTGGCAACTGAGAGAAGATGATGGGAGATGATCAGTTGCCAAAATCGGTCGATGTGAGCGCTCTGCTCTTACAACTGGAGATAAACAGTCGATCTCCGGATTCAGTCAGTTGCCCGTGTTCTATTTTTCGGCAACTAGTTGTCCTCAGATCCGGAGATATCACCCGATGTGCACGCTCCGTGGCGCACTCCAACAACATATGTGTATTGCGTGTATTGCGCCCTCTACAGTTTATGTCAGAAAACACACTGTAGGTGAGGCCAGTTGCTGTCGATGTATGCGCTGTTATTCCCGAGACTGGCCTGCTACTAGGAGTTTCCTGTTTTCGCCAGATTGTCGATGTGTACGGGGCAGCAACTCAAGGGCGACGGATATAATCAGTTGCCAGTACGATGTACGCTAGGCAAAAGAGATGACATGAGAACAGTGACAAGGACAAGTGTGAGAAAGTTCCCTCTCTTCACACACCTGGCTCTCAGAGGTAATCAAAATAAAATGTCAAAGAGACATGTTTTTTTTGGATCTGAACAACTATTTACCCACATTAAAGCGTCAGGGTCAAAATGACCCGCAACATCATCTTTGTATACAAACTCTGCACAGACATTCCACTAAACATCAAAGTGTCCAGATTTTACACACCAGTTCATGACCCTAGATGAGGAAAAGTCACCAAATTTCAGGAAGAAAAAGAAAGGATAACAAGTACTTTGATCAACACAAAAACTGAAATGGGTCAAATTGACCCTTAACATAATACAAGGGTTAAACTCTTATCTCTTTCTTGTCTCCTTCTCTCCTTCTGCCCGCGTCTGCTTCTGGCGAGTTCTAGAACAATCCGGTTGGCCGTTGCTAGTCACATGGGTCACACATGGGACGTGCAACTACTTGTCTTTCAAAATAAAAGTACAAAGATATTTTTTTTAACAAAACAACCATGAATTTGCATATTTTTTTAGCTTGTTGAGATACTAATGAATAGAGTAATATATTATAGACGTTTTTAATGACCATTTAACATATTGACATATTTATTGACTTTTAATCTGTTGTAGTTATTGATGTTTTATTAACATGCTTTTACTTTGACGGTCACACTATTAACCTGGGTTACAAAATACTGAAGTAACATTCTTCTTGCCTCTTTGCAGGTGACTGGTGTGAGTGTGAGTTCCGGATGTGACCAGTTGGTGGTGCTGCACTCCTCCACTCAGGACGACACCCTGCTCTGCCTGCAGGGAGGGCTGCTGAACCCACACCAGGACAGAGTGGGGGAGCTGGTGGGAGCCCTGTTGCACCACTTCACCAGGTACGAGTTTTCTATGGTCATAATGTCAGTATAATTTGGATGTATTTAGTAGTAGTACTGGTAGTAGCAGTAGCAGATAGATAGACAGGTCTGATGTACAGTCTGACAGCCGAAGAACAAAGGATCTCTTGAAACGTTCCATTCGGCAGCGCAGTGATATAAACCTGTTGCTACGTAGTAGTAGTAGTAGTAGTAGTAGTAATTAGATTAGATTAGATTCAACTTTTATATTACAAAGTCAGAACAATGCAACGAAATGCAGTTTAGCGTCCAACCAGTTGTGCAATTGCGCAAGTATAGGATAATATTTACAACACAGATGAATATATTTGCATATATGAGAGACTGTACAAGCTGCTATTGCTAGCATATACATTAATTATATTATATTACACTTAAGTGCATTTAATGGGATTGAATTGCTTGAGAGTTCAGGAGTGTGACTGCTCTGTGAAACTGTCTCTTAGCCCAGTGGTTCCCAAAGTGGGGGTCCCGACCCCCCGGGGGGTCGCGGGAACCCCTGGGGGGGGTCGCAAGATGATTTCCAAAAAATAAAAAATAAATAAATAAACATTTAGCTAATTAATAGCCCTTAAATATTGATTTAGCATTTGATTTGATTCAAAAGGACTACTTGTTAAATTGTGTTAGGAGAATATAAAATATTTAAATTACGTTTGTAATTTTGTCCAGTCATTGACAGCGTCAATCAAAATCAAGTTACGCAGCTTACGTCACGCAGCGACAAAGCGTGTCCAGCTGTTGTTTGCTAAAACTAAAGGTGTTTGGAGGCTTCAAACAAATAATACCTGCTTTAAAATGAAACGTGGTTAATATCCACAACAGAAAAACCCGGAGGGAGAGAAAAGTCACATGTGAGGTCAGGCTGATGGTGCGAAGAGAGGGAGAGAGGGCAGCGGAGGGAGAGAGAGCAGCGGTAGAAGAGGGTGGTAAAGAGGCCCGGCTTTTCGGAGTCAGTGGTAAAGAGGTCCGCACATTAAAAGCGGGTGGCTGCTTTATGCTGTTACTTACAGTAACTTTGGAAAAAGAAGCCGCGGGGATGAAGCGCATAAAGTAACAGCAGAAAGCGGCCGCCCGCTTTTTATGTGCGGACCTCTTTACCGCTGACTCCGAAAAGCCGGGCCACTTTACCGCGGTATGAGAACAGAGAGGGCGAGCCGCAAGAAATGCGCTCCACTTCTGCTAAGAAGGGAGCCCACCAAGCCCATCACTGTGTCACTACGTGAGTAAAAATACGCAAGCCTCCTTTTTTGGGCTGGACAGTGCAGCTCAGTAGTGGCGCGAGTCTCTGCGTTACTCCGTATCAAGGAAATACATGCTCATTGACGGGAAGGACTGTTGAGGTGGGGGGTTGGGGGGGAGCAGCGCATTTATGATGGGGGTCGCGGGCTAAAAACTTTGGGAACCCCTGTCTTAGCCTACTGGTTTTGACCCGGAGACTCCTGTAGCGGTGACCAGAGGGCAGAAGGCTAAAGAGTCTGTGTGCAGGATGAGAGGAGTCCTTCACAATCTTACGAGCCCGCCACAGAGTGCTGGCTTTCGATGTTCTCAAGGGCAGAGAGTGGAGCCCCATTGTTGCCCTGGGCTGTTTTTACCACCCGCGGTAGTGATTCCCGCTCCGCCACAGTCCAGTTTCCATACCAGGTCATAATGCATTTTGTTAAAATGGTTTCTATTGCAGAGCGATGGGGACATGTCATTCCTCTTGAGAGTCCTAAAGAAGAATAGGCGCTGGTGGGTTTTTTGTCGTCATAGTAGTAGTAGGCTGTCGTCATGACATTAAAGCAGGGATTAAAGAGTTCCGTCTAGGTGACGGATTTCCGTCAAATGAAATTGGTCTGGAAAAAAAAATATATATATATATATATATATATATAATGATAATAATACACACAATGAAATGATTGATTATAAAAATAATATATAGTAATACATATACGTGTGAATCTGTTATATATATATATATATAAATATCGATGTATAATAATAATTTGAATATAATTGTATTTATATGTATATAGAAATAATAAGTAATATAATCACGAGTGGGCCTTGAACGTGCCGTGGCCACATGAGCGCTCCGCAAATGAATCAAGGCAATGGGACGTAGCTGAGCTCACGCGCAAATGAAGACGCGATGAAGTTAGCATTGGTAACACGGAGGTGAAAGTTTCTGGAAACTGGACGGAGCTTTTGAAAAGGAGAAGAGGAGGAAAATTGAATCTCGAACGGAGCAATAACAGCAGCAGATCCGCGGACTGGTAAGCTGGGCGCGTAATAGAGGAAAGGTAATTAACGTTTACCAAACGCAATGCTATTTTACTTAACGGAAGGTACAAAACGGACTTTGCTGCAACTGGGAATGGGGACAAACATGTCTTGGTGAGCTTTTGATATGGTCTTGTTTGCGATCTTCTTGCAAAACTCAGCGTGATGTAAAAGAGCCAATCAATGAGTCATGGTGCGAAAAGATGAAAGTGGCCGGTGCTTGTGCGTACTTTGCCATAAATTGCATGTATAGGGAGTAATGAGAAAAAAGTTTTTATTCGCCACCAGCTCAAAACTGCGCACAAGGCAGCTGTTTGTGCACTTTCCCACACTTCATCTTTACCTGGTGCATCAGCAACAACTAACACTAGGCTTGCTATGGCAGACCGTGTCTGTGGCTTTATCGCAGAAAATAACGTTCAGAATATCACTACCGCTGGTAGATTTATTTAAATCATTTGCAGTTGATCGAAGTGCACTGTGCACTCAAACTTGATAGGGAAACCTTTTTCTTAAATATTGACGTGTCCACAAACAAATGTAGACAGAATTTTATCGTCCTTTTGCAATATTTTGACGAGGACAGAGCCAAAGTGTTGACGCTCCATATCGCCTCAAGTAAAGCTACTCTCACTAATATTCTGTCAAAAAGTTTACTCGTTGCTTGATCCACTTATATTTCATATCAAAATACACTGTATATCTTTGAAGAATTCATTTTAGCTGTATTCAATATACAATCTGTTATACAATAATATATTGTAATTACAAATATAACTTGGTCCTGCATATTACTGTGATTTACATGTGATAAATTTCCATGCGAAAATTTTAAGTCAAATCTTTTTTTTTTGCTTTAACCCCTGCATTAAAGGTACATAGGAGGATTTTCCCAAATGTTAGGAAAGAACCGCCCTCCCCACTTTTTGAACCTAACCCTCTGGTCTTATTTGAAAAGCATGTATCACCAGAATGATTGACAAATGGGAGGGCCAATGGTCCTGATGATCCACCTGGAAGTAGAAAATCCTCCTATATAACTGTATATATAATATATAACTGTAGGGCAGGGGTGTCATTCATGCGGGCCGCGGCTCATTTATGTAAAATGATAATAATAATAATAATTAAAAAAACAAAAAAAATCCACACCTCGACGCGAGGCTCTGCGACGCCGCAACGCCGCGCTCAGCAGCGAGTCGAGTGCGTCTATAGTGGCACCTTGCGGCCCCGGGTTCGTCCCGGGGCTACGCCTGTCTGAGGGTCGCTTTGTCATCCGCATGGCGCCGTAAAGATGGCGCCGTGGCAAGAGCTCTGGTGTGTGTCGTCTCTGTCTGGTGCACACCGGGGTAGTCTTGCACAGTTTTTCCAATGTGGTTTTACTGCAAATGGCAAATAAATGAATCTGAATCTGTTACTGAAACTATCGCAGAGGAGTTTTGAGCGTTGGTGCTGCTGCTGGTGCTGTTGTTGCTGGTGTGTTGAACAGTGCGGACTGGTCCTGCGCTCTCAGCCTGGTACCGATGGTAAAGCAGGTGTTGTGACAAAGCTGCAAATGGAGGTGATGATTTTTGAACATTTGACTGTCTTTTACACAGAGACACTGTGCTGTAAGTCGTTAAGAATAGATCCCGTTATGGAAGTTGTTTTGTTCATGAAGCCAGGATAAAAAAGAAACTCTGTGCTCCAAAATAAAAAGGGGTTCTTTATTTGGTATGGTATGGTATGGTATGGTTTTTATTTTTACAGGGACAGTGTACAACAAACATTAGCCAGAAGGAGAGATGCATTTTACCAAGTTTTAGCAGCAGTGCTAATTTACACCTGTAGTCCCTGAGCAGGCCGTTGTAAAACAGTAAAATAAAAGTAGAAGGCTACATTACCATACATTATCAGACATACATTACAATTTAATTCATCACAGAGTGGATTATAAAATAAAATAAAACCACCCAGCCCCCATTCTTAACTTTCATACAATCCTACACTGAACTCTCTCTCTCTCGCACGCAGACACGCAGACACACACACACGCAGTACACACACACACACACACACACACACACACACACACACACACACACACACATACCCGATTCCAGGGAGATCAAGGTATGCACAGTTTTCTTCAACCATTTTGCTGTTATAAGTCAGAATGTTTTGGTCTGCGACTTGGGCCATTTGTAAAAAGACTCCTACATGCTGAATCCATAAAAATTCATCTATCCCTCATCCTTCCCGCACCTTTTACCGTTAATCAGCATTTCTGGGTCGGGGGGTGCTCAATCAGAGCTGCACCAGCAGTCTCTTAGCATCCAGCCGTTAAAAGAAATTATGTTTAATTAATAGAAATAAATTGCTGTTTCTTTGTCAGGCGGTTTGTGGGAGCTGCCTTGACACATCCAGGCAATATACGAAGTAGAAAGGGGCATCCAAACATCCAATAGGAGTCATTCTGGTACGGAGCCCCGCCGGGGGCCCGAGGCACCGGTGAGCGAGAGAACTATATTATTATTTGGAAACAGACCATTGGGTCTTCTGTGCATTTAAGAGCGAGATTAAACTTTGTTGACCTTTACGTTTTCATAAGTTAATGGGTTTTTTATAACTGCACTTGAGCTCTGTTTCATTGTTTAAATGGATGCATAATGCGCCGTAATGAAAGTATTTGAATGTACAAGACCAAATTGGGGGGGATGTTCGATTAAGATTTTTTCAAAGCATTTCCACTTTGTACAAATGATATATTGAATTCTTGTTATACATTTAAAAAACAACTGTTTGACTGTGATTATTAACAGAACAGAGATGCTTTCTAACCAAGAATACGTTAAAATGAAATCATCAAACTATTATCCCCAGTCGGCGTCTTCGTGTAACAGTTAACAGTTACAGTGATATCTCCAGAAACTACCTTGAAAAGGGTATACATTCACTTCTGGTTATGCTTAATTATTGTAACGGCCTTTTTACAGTGTCTTTAATAATTGTCCCCTGATTCATATAATGCTGCTATAGTATTACAAGAGTTATAGTGGCTCCCAGTTTCTTGGTCATAAATTCTTGATGGTAGAGGTTCCAGAATATTTTTCAGATTGTGATTTCAAATGAGCTTGTGGACCCCTCAAATCTCATAGGACTGGTTCTATTGAGGGTGCACAGAGTTCACACTAATCGCCAGTGCTGCACAGTGAAGGACGGCAGTCTGCAGACTTGTACTCTTATGATACGTTTGAATTCAGCTCCATATTTTGTCCGTTATATCAGGTATTGAGAGAATTTTGCGCTTCTTTTTTCTTCTGTTTTCCTAATATTTTGCACAAAAACAAATAAATAGGTTTGGTATTGAATGCGCAACATTTTTCTAATAGTCCTTGAGGGCGACTAGTAGGGATGCAATTGATTGTGCTATCTGGGTAATACCTTAGGCTTGTACTCGTACTACCAGACCAAAGGCCCCGATTCGGCAACCAATTACCCTACATTTTGAATTTTACATTAGGGTCAAACACAGCTGACAGCTATGCTGCACGTGTTGCCTGGTGATCTCTCAAAGTCTGCCGACGAGAAAGCAAGCCTAACACAAGATGTTGGGCTGTATTGCTGTTTTTTACGCCATACATGGGTGACAGGGTAAAGCAGATGGATGTTGTTTAAGGCAATGCTGTCAAGAGGTGGATCCCAAAAAACAAATCGTATAAACCAGCTAAAATGTTTATTGTTAAAAGTAATTTTGTTCATTGATTGAGAAATATAAAAAATTTATAAATTAAAATGTATTAGTTTATGAATTTCTTAGGGATAACACCAATGCAGTCATATGTACTGTCTATGTGCAGTTACTGGATCCGATATTCAGGATTCGGGGATAGTACTCATAAATTAAGGTACTCGGATCGGCTTTGAGAACTAAGTGGGTGTCTGTGCTTCCCCTTATGTCGACAGAGGGAGCCGTCATTTCCAGTGATCAAGTTTGGAACATACACCGCATTTTAAAACCGGCGTCACCCTTCAAATCCTTTTTGTCCCAACCGTTTTTTGACTGCTGAAAGTCTGTAGCTTGTTGGGTTTAGGGGACTTTGGTGTGCATTGACATGCATGCATTTGTGCTTCAGGTAAAACACTTTTGGCCAGGCCTGTTAGCCAATCCAGACGTCCAGCACCTTTCCTGCGATGGGGGTTGGGGTGGGCCTCAAGAGCTCATTCAGAAATACCTTGGATGACAGGCCCCCCCAACTGGTGCTGTTGAGCACTTTTCCGCGTGGCAGAGGAGCACGCACCCTCAATCGTCTTCATCGACGACGATCTACGCCATCGGTACCAAAGAGGTTAGTGTCTGCTTTTCCTTCTGATGGTGAGAGAATATTATGTCCACCTCTGAGGCTGTGAGAGAAGGTCTTGTGTCCTGAGGGTTTGAAATAGCAGCTGTCATTGAACCAAGTCGACTCCAGTTTGCTCCAGTAGGTGCAGCAGCAGAATGTCAAGGTGTCTGATCCAAATGCTTCATTGTCGCTTCATTCACTATTACACAAGTGCAATCTTAATATTGCAATTGTAGAGATGATCCTGCTTCTCCACATTTGACATAATGGTGTTTGTCGAAGGTATGACTCAAAACTCTGGTGGAGGAGTGAGAGATCCACGTGGGACATGGCTGGAGCTGCTGAACCAGCTGGACGCTTTGACTCGCGGGGGGACTGTGCAAGGTCATCATTGGCCACCACAGTATCGAGAGTGGATCCAGCCATCATCAGGACCTGGCTCCAGTGCCATACACTCATTAGTCACCATGTCTTGTGGTCATTTAAGTGAGAGACACGTCGGATTGTTTAGGTTCTCGCTCCTGGCCGATAAAATGACCACTTCTCCAATAATAGATCAAGAACACGGCACTATATGGCTCGTCGTTCACGGATTGGGTGTTGTTAATACAGATGATAATTGTAAGTGACCTCTCCTTATTGAGACAAATGGCCACTTCTTTGTGTTGATTAGTGCCTTTGCGAAAGTTATTCGCCAATTGAACCTGTCAACATTTTGCCACATTTCAGTCTTCAAACTTAAGATATACAATTTTATTTTTTTGTCATGAATTCAACAAGGGGGCGACACATCCGTGAAGTGGGGGGGTGGAGACGGACACATTTGTTGGATAATTTTAAAATCCTGGTTTTTAAACAAATAAAATAAACTGAAAAGGGGGGGTTTGCATATTATTTGCCCCTTTACATTCCAGTGCAGTAAACTCAGCTCCAGATAGTTTCAGTGAGGATCTTTGAATTGATCCAATGTTGTCCCTTAAATGACTGATGATGATAAAAATTGAATGCACCTGTGTGTTAATCAAGCTCGTTATAAATTGCACCTGCCTCTTTGTTGTCTCAGGGTTTGTTTAAAGTGCTCAGAGGAGAACCTGAGACCAAAGGAACACACCAGCAGGTCCTGAGATATCTGTTGTGGAGAAGTTTTAAAGCCCGGATTGGGATACAAAAGATTTCCCAGCTGTAAACATCTCAAAGGAGCCACTGTGCAAGGCAATTATATTGAATTGGAAGGGTATCAGCCACTGCAAATCTACCAAGACGGGGCCGTCCCACCCAAACTTTTAACTCATAAACATGGAGAAGATGATCAGAGATGATAGCCAAGAGGCCCATGATCCACTATGGCCCCCCCCCCCCCTCATGAATGCACGATAAAACTACAGATGAAACCGGTGGGGATGGTGGGGTTCCGGGGTGAGGAGATGTGTTGCTTTACGCAAACATATCGTTTGCATTTGTGGCCACAATATAATTTGATTTTGGTTTCTCGGCCGAGCACCTTCTTCCAATTGTATGGTGGTATCCAGGTGTGGAAAGGAAAATACTTTCGCAAGGCACTGTATACACATTAAAATGTGTTGTTCCCTTGATTACATTGCTCATAAAAATGGGCACCTTGGGGCAGGATCCTGGACAGTCATGGTATTTGAAAATATTTGTTAATTAAAATAATGTTTGTTTTTTCTGGTGGCCCGCATATAGTCTGTAATTTGTAGCATGTTCCAATCCATGTTGGTATCACTTTCCCACATATCCTTTTTAATTATTTGGTAAATCAGAAAAACACCCAGTTAGATTACTTTGCGGGTTTTAATGATCATCCTTCTTTCCTCTGCATCTTTCTCCTTTTTAGGAAGAATCGACCGTAAGATCGAGTTGCCCGCAGCCAGTCACGAAAAAACCAAGAGGCGGATTTTCCAGTTCCACACGAGCCGCCATGAACCTGTGAGCCCGATGACTCGTGACGCTGGACGGAAACTCCTCTGGCCGAAAGAGACTCTCAGGGGCCGACATTAAAGTGGGTTAACGTTCCTATGTGGTAAGTGTTTTTTACAGCCTTTCCCAACCGCATAAGAGACTGGCTCTTTGCAAGCGATCTGCTGTCCTGGCCCGAGTCCAGAGCTTAAGTTGGTCCACATCAAGAAAAAATCACCCTGAAAAAAAGTCAAGAGGGAGTTTGTTGAAAAACTTGTAAAACAACAGCGATTCATTTCTGGAAGTAGAAAATCCACTATGAACTCCATTAAAGTAAAATATAAATAAACTTTATAACTCTGAAAAAAATGGGCCTTTTGAATGATCCAATGTTGTCCTAAATGACTGATGATGATAAATAGAATGCACCTGTGTGTGATCAAGTCTCCGTATAAATGCACCTGCTCTTTGATAGTCTCAGGGTTCCTGTTTAAAGCGCAGAGAGAACCATGAAGACAAAGGAACACACCAGGCAGGTCCGAGATACTGTTGTGGAGAAGTTTAAAGCTGGACTTGGATACAAAAAGATTTGGGCTTGTTCACACTAAAGGGCACAAAAGTGTGACAAAAGGCCAAAAATTAGATTTTAATAATCAGAAGATGTTTTATGTTTTTCATGTTTCCAAACACCTCCTCTGTCCATTAGAAGTTGCTAGAACATAACTGTTTTATACATTAGACAAGTTTCCTATAGCGGCCCTGTTTATTTTATGTAACGGACGTGATGATTTAACAGAATGGGCTTTGTGGAAGTTTGATAGGTATTTTCAGATGTCCAAATTTGATTCAGAGATTCTACTTTCTTACACAAAGTAGATGCAAAGTGATACTTTCATATTGTCAAGCAAATAAATGTGAAAACAGACCAGATTTTTTTTTCTCAAGTTTAATTTTTAGAGAAAAGAGGACCGTCCTCATCACGTCCGTTATACATTTTTCAGGGGTCATTTAATTAATTAATTCATGTTTATTTTTTCACGATTCCTTTTTATATCAAGTGATTTCCTTCTGTTGTGTTAACCATGTAAATCTTGTGGGATTTCATCTTCTGCTTTTTCAGACTGAGGAAATTTTATTTTCTATGTAACTGGCGTCACAGTAGAATGGTCCAATCAGAGGCTAATTTGGTCGTTTAAAATGTTGCTAAA